CCCCTCCAATCTTTGCTTTCCTGTGGTGCTGAGGACCGGGCCACGGATCTTGTACCTGCCAAGCAGGAGCTGCACCACTGAGCTGCAACCATGGTCCTGCAGGTAACACTTTTCATTTTTATTTTTCCGAGACAGGGTTTCTCTGTGTAGCTTTGCGCCTTTCCTGGATCTCGCTCTGTAGACCAGGCTGGCCTCGAACTCACAAAGGTCCACCTGCCTCTGCCTCCCAAGTGCTGGGATTAAAGGCAAGTGCCACCACCACCTGGCATGGTAATAATTTTTAATAGATTCTTGTTTATATTTCTAGTGTTTCTTCTTCTTCTTTTTTTTTTTTCGAGACAGGGTTTCTCAGTGTAGCTTTGCGCCTTTCCTGAAACTCACTTGGCAGCCCAGGCTGGCCTCGAACTCACAGAGATCCACCTAGCTCTGCCTCCCGTGTGCTGGGATTAAAGGTGTGCGCCACTACCGCCTGGCTGTGTTTCTTATTTTTTAAAAATTAATTAACTAAAAAAAAAATTTTTTTTTTTTTTTTGAGACAAGGTCCCATGTAGTTCAGGCTGGCCTTGAATTTGCTACATAACTGAGGATGATCTTGAACTTCTGATCCTCCTGCCTCCATCTCCTGAGTGCTGGGATTATGGGCATGTGTCACCAGGTTTGATTTTATGCAGTGCAGAGGATCAAACCCAGGGTTTTGTGCGTGTTACATAACCTCACCAACAGAGCTATAAGTCTAGTGTTTATTTATGCATATGTATGGTGGTATTTTATTTGTACTGAAATGTGATTTTACTTGTATGTTAATAAGTAAAGTTGCCCAGGGGTCAGAGCTATTAGAGCCATAGCAAGAGCATGGTGGCGGCGCACGCCTTTAATCCCAGCACTTGGTAGAAGAGCTAGGTAGATCTCTGTGTGTTCAGGGATACAGCCAGCATTGGAGACATACGCCTTTAAGACCTGGACCTGGAGGTAAGATTTTTAGCTCTGAGCTCTGACCTCTCGGCTTTCTCTTTTACATTGGTTCTGTGTTTCTTATTTTAATAAGACGGTTGGTTACATCTACACTGGGGTGATGAGGAAGGTCCTCCTCACAGTTGCTGTCTCTTCTCTGTTACCCACTCATCCCACTGCCCAGGAATTCAGTTCCTGGGTAGTCAGAGGAAGTGTCCCAGCCTCACTGACTAGCAGGCACTGGCCAGCTCTGACCCTCACTCAAGGCTTGTTTATAGGCAGCACAGACTCTACAGGCAGAGGCCCTGTGCGTCTTTGTTGGAATTTTGATCCCTATCCTGGCACAAGATAGAATTCTGTGCAGGGCTCCTGCTCTGTCTCTGGTCACTATACTCATTCACAAACCAGTGGGTGGACAGTCTCACTTTCTGAAGGGCTCTTATGTGGCCAAGTCCCGTATGGTTTTGGTTATCTGGCTCTTGAGGGTAGAGGGACACCCTCTCCCTTGGGTAGAGCTTACCCCAAGGACTGTGAGGTAGTGTTTGTCCTCTTCCATCACCTCTGAATGTCTTCCCTCAGGCTTTTGCCCTCACTCTTACTCTATGGGGTTCCCTAGACTTCCCACATGTCACTCTGTTTATTAAATTATGTAGAAAAGGAGCCAAAAGGCCTACACATGTTCTGTGATGGATGGAGGGGACTTGGGATCACACACATGCACCTCGACACATGTTCTGTGATAAATGAATGGGTGGAGGGGACTTGGGATTCCACATACATGTGCACCTCAAAGCCATAGCACCTTACTATTCTGTCTTCACTGGAGGAGGGGAACTCTTGCTTGGGGGACAGACTGTGACTCACTCCCAGGCTGTCACTGCCTACCAGAGGGGAAGGTGTTAAGTGTTGCTAAAGCCTCAGGGTTCTCATTTTTGAAATGGGGCTAAAACTTCCCTTGAAGGGATTGAGTATTAAATAACAATATCCACTCCATACCCCTAGCACATGACTTATGATAAATTTCAGCTTTTAAAAAATATTAATATAAAAAATAAAATATTATTTTTAATAATAGATGTAAAATATCATACTTATCCTTGCTATGCTAGATACTGAAGAATTGGTGATATGAATCAAATGTCCCAGGCAAAGCCAGACTCTAGGACCGAGAATGCTCAATTTTACCCTCTGATTCCCCTAATTCCTTCTCTCAGTTCTGAACAGGGCTTGTAGCTCCATCTTGGAATAAATTTACTACTCTGGTTCCTGTGGCCTTTGAGTTTGGGTTACAAGGACAAAGCACTTCTCTGTGGTCTGGACATAATCATCAACTCAATTAGGTCAGACAGGAAGGCAAAAAACAGGTGGGTGAGTAATGGGTGCTGTGTTACGAGTGTGAAGGGTTAGTTAGGTTCCTCCATGTTGGGCCACATAGGCTTTGTACTGGAAGTAGCTACCTGGGTTGAGGGTCCTCCTGCCTTCCAGATGGGAAGAGGAAAGGTCTTGTGGGGTTGAGGCAAGCCTGTGCTGATGTCTCTTCCTTGTGGAAGGCCTGATGGACAGGGATGGGCTGCAGAAAAAGGAACTGGTCCTGTAGTTCAGAGAAAGGTCACAGGGCCACTGCCCAAGGCTTTCTGGAGTCTCTGAGGTACTATTTGGCAACAAGAGAGGGTCCAGTTAGAGCTTTGGAGGAAGACTTAATACTGGCTAGGGGAGGCTCTCCTCCCCACACAGGAAGACAGCAGGGCACTGTCCCCCACCTACAGACTTGTTGCCGCCTTTCCAGAACTTTGCTCCTACCTCCTAGCTGTGTATGCAGAAGAAATGATGGGTGGTATCCTGCATGGATCTGGCCTTCCTAGTCCAGAGTTCTCAGTGAGAGTTGAGGGAGAAGGGCCTGTTACAGGGATCCCTGCTTTAAAGGGATCTGGAAAAGGTCATTTAATTCATGGCATGGATGCTGAGCACCCCAACACCAAGTCATGCGACTCACATCTAATGTAAGCTAACAGGTGGAGCAGAGTTGGTAGCCATATCCTAGTGGTTGCCCAAGGAATCCAACCCAGGATGCCTTCTTGGTCACATAAAACCCAGTACTCAAATTCTACCACCTGCTGCTATGTAGGAGGCTGGCATGGCAGAGAACTTTCCGCCCCACCCCAAAGTCAACAGATCCAAACCTAGATCCCAAAGCATCTTCCTCCACCGTTACCTCTGGTCCCAGGTTCTGTCTCAAGTGTCTCAGGAGAACCTTCAGCCCTTTACGGGTCTCTCTGGTCTCAGATGGCCAGGGAAGCGGTCAATCAGATGTTCTCAGCCCCCTCACCATTTTCCTCTTGTACTGACATTCTTTTTTTGTACAGCAGCTTGATGAAACAGGAAACAGACAAGCCACAGTGCTTGCAAACCTCAGTTCCTCTCCTTACTCTTAGCAATTTGAGAGGGCCCCTTCACCCTTGGGGCCTCCCCGGGCTGGTGAGGAACTCCACCCAGCCACCCACTCTCTCACTACCTGATTGGTCTGTGCTCCCCAGCAGTTTTAAGCTAATATCCATTTCCAGGGGTTGGTGATGTAGCTCAGTAGGTAGGGTGCTTACCTAGATGTGTGAAGCCCCTATTCTGTCCCCAGCACTAAAAGCCAGACCTGGTAGTGTTTTCCTGTTTTCCTGAAACCCCAACATCAGGAAGTGGAGGCAGGAGAACCAGGAATTCAACGTCATCCTCAGCTACATACTGAGTTCTAGGCAGCCTGGGCTACAAGAAACCCTGATTAAAAGCCTTTTTTTTTTTTTTTTTTTTAATAGTTTCTAAGACTACACAGGGATGGGCTCTGGACCAGATCCAAACATTGTCATCTCTGTGGTAAGATCCAGGAGGGATGTTCCCTATGCCATCTAGCTATCTGTTTGGCAGTCTCTCTTTCCTTTGGGCATCTCTTCTCAATGTTGGCGTTGGGTAGCATTTCCTGTGATCTGAAGGATCTCTGTGTTTTGTGGCATTCTAGACCCTTAAGGATGTGTGTTCTGGATTCATTTCTTTATGAAGCAATGTGGAGGGGTGACAGTCTGGGCTGCTGGAAGGCAGAAGGCAGATACCCAGCAGAATCTGAAAAAAAAAAAAAAAAAAGAAGAAGAAGAAGAATCCCAGTGAGTTGAACTGAGACATTTTGGGAAAAATTAAAGAGAACGGACACATTAAAAAGAAACTATTACCAATGGGAAATTGCAGAGTGGCTCAGGATAGATAATCAGGAAACTGGGTTGGTGCAAGTTCACGAACACCTCTGGAATCTTCTGAGCAAGCCCTCAGTATGGAGGGGTTAGGTGGTTGATGTGGCTGCTGTAAGTGCAAGGTTTGACGTCTGTGAGGCAGATGGGAGGCAGATGTGAGGCAGGCCATGAGACGCCCTCAGGGTGGGAGACACTAGAGAATACAGGAAGTCAGGAGATTGTACTGAATTGCTGCAGACTGTTTGGACTCTATCAAAAACCGTACAGAAATGTGTACAGAGATCAAAATCTCTTCTAG